GTTTGGAAAAACCAATTTTTATCCAGTAAATATAAAAAAGATTTTGAAATTTTATTAAAGTTGAAAATCGTGAATTGAAACAAGAATTTCATATTCACTTTTCTACTTCAATAAATATTTTAAATCTATAAAACATTCACAAATATTAAAAATCAAAGATATGAAATGACTTTTCAAGCTTTCCCAAGAATTTTTTATAGTTCTGGAAATTAATTATGCCAAATTTGTTAAGTAAATTTTCAAAATATTTTTAAATATACAGTCGAGGAAAAACAACAAATTAGTAGCAGCAAATTGTTTCACATGTGTGCTGCATATGGACATCAGTAATGTGCACTATCAGTTAGCTTATTATGTAAGATAGTTTATCTTCAGTATGTTTATCTTCAGTAGGGAATTAATGAATATTTTAAAGAGTTGCTATGATCCAGATACATAGACTTACGAGAATATCTTCCGGGAACATCTTATCTTTAAACATTATCGCATTACTTTCTTTTAATTTTTGAGGTAGAAAAAAATTGATTAAATCACTTTCGATCGTTTATAGTAAGCTTGTGCAATATCAAGTTTTGAAATTGTGTAAAAATGGTTTAAATTTGCTTCAGTGACATCAAAATGGATGTCAAGAACTGTTGCATTTGATGGAATTAAATCCATTTAAATTATATATTTTCGTTACTAACTAACGGATTTTATAAGCGGAACGCTTATTCTTGAAGAGTCGACATTTTGAAAAACTAATCGAATTCAGTAGCAAATGTAGCCAAGAGATCATGATATGAATGATTGTGTCTTATAAAGAAATTTTTGGGAACAATATCTTGGACTTATGAGAAATTTTTAAATGAGAACAGCAATAGAGAGCTTACCAGGTAGAATAATTAAACTTGGATTCTATTTCAATCAAGATTTAGCCTTATGGGTGACTTTTTTAACAACAGTAAATTATGTCTTAATTGAGATAAGTTGCTGAAGCATTCAAAACCATAACTAAAATATCTGCAGTGGTATTCGTAAATTTGTGATTGATAATTCATCGTTAAAATTTTTCATCAATTTTCGAATTTTTTTTTTACCAAAATTTCATTTTTATGTATAATATGAATTTCAAGTCATTTCTTTTGATGTGATCGAACAAGACTTTTTTTTTTGCCTTTTGAGGCTTAACTGGAAAATTACGTTCCAAAAAGAGAAAAAAACATTGCTGTTCCAAATAAATGAGTGATATTTCTATAAAAGTATTCATATCTTATGTTGTGATAAATGTTCGAATTTTAGAAAATTTAAATGAAAATCGGTCAAATTTAATGAAAAAACATTTCTACCTTTTACATACAAGATATCGTGAATGTGATGCTCCTCTCTTAATGATTTATTGAAATTATTGATTGGTAGTTAGTTGGCCGCTATTAAGTAATCAACCAATAATTCATCGCATTTTTAGAAGTTTTATCGGCAATCAATTAATTTAAGGGTATATATTTATGGGAAAAGAAATGCTCGATGGTCACGTTTGCTTATATTTTTCCATTTTTTTGTAATTTCAAAATGTTAGATTCGTGGATGAGAGACTGCATAAAAATTTGAATACTTTGTTCAATCCAAAAATTTTGAAGTTAGAATTTGATATAAACTTGAATGCGATGTTTTCAATAATATTTGTTGAATATAAAATTCTCTGTGTAATTCTTCCAAAATAATATCAATTGAATTTATTTCAAATTTTTACGATAATTGAAATTGTTGGCTTTGTAAAACAAAAATGCAAAAACGAAAAGGTCAATTTTATAGCTAAAAATAAGCCTCAGCTAACGATGAACTATTTTTTTCATGAATCATTTTCACTGAAAGCATCAGTTGACTGGAAATTTCCTATATTGCTCTCATTTGATAAGCTAAATTTGCTGCTTTGTTCCAAACAATATCATTTCAACATTATCATTAGAGTTGAGCACAAATAACTCTCAATGTCAAAGTGCAAAATGAATTATCAAACAACTTTTACTAGTCAACATTTTATAACTAATTTAATAAAAAATTATCCAAAACTAAACTCATAACATGCATATTCTTTTTGAATAAAATTACTCAAATCATCTAATTTTCTTGCAAAATCCAAAGAATATCGAAAGAGAGAGAAGGAGAAAGAAAGAAAGAGGAAGAGAAAAAGAAACATTTCGCACACAATTGGATAGGTGGCTCTAATTTCTTCATAAAATTAAATACTTAACGAAATTCAGTAAAATCAAGGATGAAAAGAGGAAAGCCATAAAATGTGTTTTATGTGGCATTTGAAAAATCGCTGAGAAATTGTGGAATTTGCTAAACAGTTACGATGTTCAGCGCAATTAAGTAACATTAGCTGCAATTTTATCTGAAACACTCTTTCCAAAACTTTAAGATTTTTTATCAATTTTTAATTCAACAAAATTTATGTTGCTTCCAGAACAATACAGGAGCGGTATTTAATCAGCAATTCGCAAGAGATCTTAATACCCAGGTGCAGTACGTGGTGGTGCGCAATGATCACATGCACCACCTTTGCCAGTAGCTCCCATTTCACCGCGTTCTCCAGGTGCTCCAGGTTGTCCAGGAGCACCATCTAATCCTGCATCTCCAGGCAACCCTGGAGGTCCAGGGACAGCATTTCCTGGTGAACCAGGCAGTCCTGGTGGTCCTGCTGATCCTATCGGACCATCGGGTCCCGGTGGGCCAGGAGTTCCAGGTACCTCTCTAACTTGACCGGGTAAACCGGGTGGTCCAGGTGGTCCCACTTCACCCACTGCTCCAGCTGGTCCAGGCGGTCCAGATGGACCTGGCGGTCCTGGCAATGGAGCAATTCCGTTCTTGCCTGGTGTGCCAGCCTGTCCAGGTGGTCCTTTGGGTCCAGTTTCACCTGGCGGTCCCGCTGCTCCTGCTGGACAGTCAAAGCAGAAGTCTTCGGGTTTCGGTATAGCGTCTGGTGCGGCATCCTGTCCTGGAATACCGTCGCTGCCTGGTGCTCCATCAGCTCCTAAAAATAACCTCGAAATAATAGAATAACCTTTCAATAATAGGTTAAAAGTGTCGGAGATTTGAAGAAACTGCCAAGTTGTACATTTCAACCATGATAATTAAAATCAGTGATTTTCAACCCACAAAGAAGGGTGAATATTGAAATTTAGTTTTGCATATTTGAACTATTCATATTTTCTCGATTTTATAATCCACTGGTAACGTACCTTTTTCACCATCGTTTCCTGGTGGTCCAGAAGGACCCGCATTTCCAACACCGCAGCTGCAGCACGTATCTCCACCTTGCATATTAACTGCTGCGTTCTTAACACTAGCATCAGATGGTAAATATCCGGAAACACTACTTGGATAAGTGCCTGCAGCCCGTGCTCGTGCTGATTTTTGACCTGTTCTTCCTGCATGACGATAACGCGCTTCTCTTTTCAATCTTCCTTGAAAACCAGTAACTTCTTCAATCTAAAATAAAGATTTTTTAACTTGACGAATTATCTAGTGATGAGAAAAGAAGAAGTAAAAGATAATTTTGTCAAAATTTAAAATACAGAGTGATTGCTTGTATAGTTAGGTGAATTTTATTCTTTTTGATACAAATGATTTAATTTCAAAACTAATATAATTATTTAATATCTGATTTTACAACGTTCCATAAAGCTATATTAAAAATACTCGATTTTCAACATTTATATGATACTATTGCAACTGAATTTCAATTTTTAAAAATGATATAAAATTTCTTTGAAATATTTTAAAACAAAATTATGAAATACAATGCGATATTCATTCCATAATCCATCGGTCCTATATTTACAAAATTCGAGTTCTCCCTCCAATGATGATTGCACATGCTGAACATAATTGTACAGCATTGGTACTGCAACAATTGCTGTTAATGTTGCAACAGTTGAAATTGCGATCCCAAAGAATGCTGAACGTCGTAATCCATCTGCTTCCACTTTTTTCAACTTTTCATACTCCATTCCTATCCTGTGCTATAAACATTTATTATTTTTACAATTATAGAAATTTTGCGAAATATTTTTTAATAACACTCATCAAAAAATGTGGATTTTCAATAAATTCTTCAATAAAATAATTTAAATTCTGCATTATTATAGTAATTGTCGATGGTGTAATTAAAATCACGCATTATTTTCAGAAAGCCATGTTTTATTGAACTGTCGCTCAAAACTTAACCAGTCTTAATGACGCACCTCTAACAGTTTTAATATAAAAAATTTGTGATAATTAGCATAATTTAACTAGCAATAAATAGTGTTTACAAGAATTTAAAAAAGTATTATCTAATTATATCAAAAAGAAGCGGTTAAAATGCAAACAGATTACATTTCACAATACTTATTCTTTTTCCATAATTTAAAAGAAAAAAAAGCATTCCTTCTATATGTACGCTATGCAAGATTGAAAGATCAGAAAAAATTAGCGAAAATATATGAATTGATTTATTTAATTAGGATCGTCTGACTAAAGAAACTCGCTTTTCCTCCCATCAAAGTTTTATTTTTACTTTTTATTAAACAGAAAAATACACACAATTGACGTTTTAGTTGGAAAACTATAAGTAAAGTACAAATTTTTATTTATCTGTTTTAAGCGCAATAACTTAAAAGCTTAAATATTGATATTAATTTAAACGAAAGTTCTTACATAGCAATTCAGTATGTGCTGTATTTTTTCTATCTACTCAATAAATTTTTAATGCGAAATAAATTCTGAGAATAGATGTTTTCAAAAAAATTTCAGATCTGGAGACGTAGGATCATTATCAATCATTACAAAGTATGATCTCGCTACTGATAAAATTATTACTAATTGTTATTTGGTCATTTAAAAGTTGTTGAAAAAACGAATAAAATAAAGTTAGCCTTCACTTTATTCGTTTAGTAAAAATCGGATGAAAAAATATCAACTCATTGAATAGTAACAAACAGTATCGTCAATTGATAGTAACATTAAAAAAAAACTTCCAGAAACAAGTTTCATCTTATACTCTCCTCATTTTTTTCCTTCTCATAATCCATCAGTAATCTTCAGTCGTAAAATTGTTTATGTTTGTGTTCGTCTGTCCGTCCGTTTTCATGAAGGAGTATGATGTGACAATAACATTTGGGGAATGATTTGTTACGGTAGATGGACCGTGGTCATTATTACAATTACAGGATCGTAGGATGGTTCTTAAGAGGCACCATTAGTGTGCTTTTGTTAAAAAATCTATCTTTTTTTCATCAAATTCAAAAATTGCCCGATAAAAAAACGCCATCCACAATTGAGGTACAACTTAATGTTAAGTAATTATACAAGTTGAATCACCATTTCTCATCCATTGATGAAAACTAGTTTGTTAAGTTCTCATCAATAATATGATATAACATTCTACACAAGGTTCTTAATTTAATAATGACCTAATTTGCAGTTCTCTTGATAATAAAATTATTTTCTGAAAAAAAAAAAGTGCTGAGTTGAATAAATTATTTTGATTAATATATAATATCAAATTCAACATAGAATTTATACTTCGCATATTTTATACTTTACAGTCAATGTAATTGTAATTACATGGTTTATTATGCTTTATAGTTTGGAGAGTTTACTCATTAAACAACGCGAACAAAATTACTTGCTTAGCCTATCAAAATGTTTTGCAAAAATAGAAATATTTTTTAAAAAAAAGCAGTGTTATAAAACAATTACATATAAGAATTACTGTATTTTTAAAGCTAAAAAATTAATTATTTTCATTTTGCAACAGAAATATTTATTCTCAATTTTTGGCGCAGAATCATTTAAGATTCAGTTCATCAAAATATTTTGTAAAACTAATTAGGGATGACGTTTTGGTACTATCATCTCTCCGCCGATTAAAACAGAAAAGCAGTACAGTAGCATTCAAACAGTGAGCATGTTATTTGCTTAAAAAATATA